CTGGAACTATAGCAGTAGTCTCCTGTCTGTGGTACAGAGAGAGATCGCAGGGCAGTGAAAAAAATCAATATTGCCTCACAGATTTCAATTTAACTGATACTGTGGTTTCATCATTTCCTTTTGCCTCACCTCTCTTTTTATGTATGTGGGTAGTCCAAAAGTTGACATATCTGGACTTCATTTCGTCTTGAGTTAGCTGTCCTTTGGGAAAATGGAAAGCATTAAGCACAGAGAAATGACCATGGAGGAACTCAGAGAAGGGAAGAGAACAAAGGATGTGACTATTCCCCAAACTGGGTCATTGGCCCCCAAACCCATTTCCTTTTGGAAATGTGTTATTTTCATTTTGGAGAGGTTATAATAAATTAATTTTATCTATTTTCTCATTAATCTATTTTATTTTTCCTTCTATTCAAGTACACAGTTGACAAGTAGTCATCTATGCCTTTCCAGAGCTGGGGTTATAGCCGTGCCCCACCAAGTTCTGCTTTTTCTTTTTAAAATGTGGGTTCTGAAAATTATTTCACATGTTTGTGCTTGCAGAGCAAGCATTTTACTGACTGAACTAGCTCCCCAACCCTCTTTTTTTTGTGAGACAGACTCTTGCTTTGTTTCCCATGCTGACCTGGAACTCACAATCTTCTGCCTCAGCATCCCAAGTGCTGAGATTACAGGTGTGAGCCACCACGCCCAGCTAAGAGACATTTTCAAACACTGCCTTATTTCCTCATTAAAAACAGTGCTTATAAGGACTCAGTGTATTCTGTCTGGTTCCTATAGTACTTAGGGAAACAGTTTTGATTTTTATGATCATCATTATCTTTCTGTGAAGGAATGAACTTCTCTCCAAGTAAAGAGTGATCTATAGCCTGGAGGCTCTCAATGGCATCCGTATAGATCACACAGCAGGACCTGTGTGATGAAAGCCAGCAAGTTCTACCGATTAAATCTAGTGACTTGAACAAATTTTTATTATCCTTTTGCGAACATGCAAGCTCTACCTCAGACAAAAACCAGTTGTTACCTAATGAAGTATTTCAGCTTGTTCATATAAGCTGATGGTTTCATATGACCAGATTATTGCTGCATCAGCTATTAGCAACTAATAACATGCTCCTCTTCTGCTTTAATGACGTGCTATGCTCAGAATGCTCAAAGATGGGCAGAAGTTTAGGAATATCATTGTCCCCTTTTGGCTGTTGATTGATTCCAGCATCCACTCCTGATTAGAATGTAAGATGTTTTGTTTTAGATTTGGAGTCTTTAATTACCCAATCTAATCATAATGAGACAAGCAACATACTAGGGTTGTGGAATGTAATCCTGGAGCATCTTCTGGATGCTTTTGGGTGTATGACCACTGGCTGTAGTTCTTGGTTTCAGTGACAGTCTCCATCCCTCTGCTCCTCTTCCCAAGCCTGCTTAGTAAGGAGCACGCAGCTGACCAAGAGAAGCCACTATGCAGTGGCTTTAGAAAAACTTGAATGATTGGTTTCTGTAGAACACATGCTGCTTTTGTCCCCTAATACTGAGGATTGGGCCCAGGGCCTCATGTATTTTAGGCTAAGAGCTATGTCTCCTGCTTATCTATTTTTTTTCAGTTTCTGTGATTGAATCCAGGGCCTCATACATGGTGGGAAACACTGAACCACATCCTTCTAGCCCTTGGGCTTTGTTCTTAAATAGATGGCATGGTTGGTGCCACTAATAGCATATTTTTAATGGAACAGAGAGAAGAATTTTTCTCATTTGTGTGTCTATGTGTGGGGTAGTATATTTTCACGTGTGTATGTGTGTGTGTGTGTGTGTGTGTGTGTGTATGTGAGGCTGACATCTGATGACATCTTGAACACTCTTCACCTTATTTTTAAAAATGTTTGAGTGTATTCTCTGCGTGTTTAGAAGTATTTTTTAATGTTTGAGTGTATTGTCTGCACGTGTATAAGTGCACTCGTGTCATGCAATGGCCATGGAGGTCAGAAGAGGGCATTGGAGCCCCTGGAACTGGAGTTACAGATGGTTGTTAGCTGCCATGTGCGTGCTGGGAATTGAACCCTGGTCCTCTATAAGAGCAGCCAGTGCTCTTAACTGCTGAGCCAGCTTTCCAGCTCCGTCCATCTTAGTTTTTGAGACAGTATTTTTCACTGAACCTGGAATTCATTGGTTTATCTAGGCTGGCTGGCCAGTGAGATCATGGGATCTGCCTGTCTCTACCACCCTGCCTCCTGCACTGGGCTTACAGGCATGCCACTATGCTTTGACATGAGTGCTGGGGATCTGAACTCAGGTCCTTAGGCTTTGGTGGGAGGTACATCACTGACTAAGCTAGCTCCACATCCCATTGAATTATGTTTTTCAAATTGATGAAAATGATCCTTTAGCTTTGAAATTTTATTTAGATAACTTTGTTCTTACATTTCCTAAAACAATGACTCCTCAGTGCTCAGGAGGAAAGTTGAATTTAAAAAATATTGTTTGATTTCTTTTATTTCTCTTTTTAAATTTTTTGGTATGTACATGTTTGTGTGTGTGTGTGTGTGTGTGTGTGTGTGTGTGTGAGTTTTCTTAGAAGCTGAAGTGAAGTGGGTGGGCCCTTTACTACCTTTCTTCCCTTAATTATACAACCTGAACATTGATGTGATAACAAATTACTATCTTGCTCCCCCTAGTGGAATTATAACTTTACTTCAGTGTTTGAGAATGGCATATTGCTAGTACACATCTAATTTAGTATCTTAGGTAAGCAAGCCTTTTTTCCAGTTCCTCTTCAAAGACTAAGCATAAAAATGAAAAATAGTGCATGGGGTGGACTGAAAGGGCCACAAGTAGAGCGTGGCTTCTTTTCGACTTCACTTTCTTGTGTTTAGCTGTAGAATTCAGAATGGCTGTCAGACACAAAGAGCCCTTTTCTCTGAATGTCAATCTTTAAAGGCCAAGGGTCATCAGCCTGGCAGTGAGTCACCTCCAAAAGTACATGTTCACTTTCCCAGGAAAGATGGATGGAAGCAAGTATTCTTGAAAGACAAGGACAAGTCCCATACAAATAAATCCCTGTTGGTAGACTAGGCCCATGAAGTACCCTTTGCCTCCTGGATCTACTCAAAGGACTGTACCAGTCTTCACAGTGTGTAGCAAACATTGCCAGTTTATAGCTGCTAAGCATGCAAAAAACATTCTAGTAACCCAGGGTGGAACAACTGCTACCTCTCTCAAAATTCTCCTTTTTCCTACCACTATTTGTTTTTCACAATTTTGACCCTTGTTATGATTTTGTGTTTATTGAATTCTGTATTCTGTTCTACACAGCATACCCTTATGTGGTCTATACTAGTGCTGAAAATATGTGAAGGTTTGAGAAGAACACAGTAGCTTCCCCGGATAATGCCACACCCCACATATACAATGCTTCTTTTTAATCATATGTCTTTATACCTCCTTATTATAGCATTTAATTTATAAATTAGACATGATAAGAGATTAACACTAATAGCCAATAATCAAATAAAGCAATTCTATTGTAATAAAATTGCCATTATCACCACTGTTGTCCTTTGGGGCCATTGCTAAGTAGGGGATGCTTGAGCACAAGCACTGTGGAACAGCAATGGTTGACCAGATAGTTGAGATGACACCTAAGTGACTCCTAGGTAGTGAATCTCTTGTGGATACACCAGATGAAACTAGGATTCACATCCTAGGTAGGAAGGGGCAAGATGGAGCAAGATTTAGTGATGCTTTTTAGGATGGGGCATAATTTTAAAAAATGAGTTGTTTATTTCTGGATTTTTTTTTTGTTTAATATTTTTGAACTGTAGTTGACTGTCATTGACTGAACTCATGGAAAGAAAGTCTGTGGCTAAAGAAGGACTGCTGGTCTGTACATACCGAGGCTTAGGACCCTGCCTTGTGCAAGTGAGGCTTTGCTATTAAGCCTTATCACCATTGTGACAAAAGCTGCAAACCTTATGACTGCCAAATGAATGGGTGATGGACTAGATCCTTGACACTTATGAAGAAAAAACATTATCATTCGCATAAATCATGTAGAACAGATAGTATTTACATATATCTTTCCCAAATACTTATTCTCAGATAAATGTTTACCTGGGGAAAAAATAAAACAGCAGGATTGGATTAAAATCCAAACCAAGGGAAAAACCCAAGACATTTTTGGGACATCTTCCATTTGTGAGAGGGTGTGGAGGAGGGAAAGGAATAGAGAGCGTCTACAATATATAAAGTGCTACTTACTTGAGTCATAGCAAACACCCAGCTTACATTCAAATAAAGCATGTATCTGTGAAGTTCTGGTTTGGGTCCACAGTTGTGAAGATAGTGGGGCTGGGCAGCCACCCAGCATTAACTGGACTGAAGATGCCTATCTAGCAAGGCCCTGGGCCCTGGAGAATAGGTATTTTCAGGCATTGCTTGGCTTTCCTTGCTTGAGAAGCACAAGGACCTAGTGAATGCCACAGAACATCTGCCTACATTCTTTGTGCTCATGAGTACACACCACACCATGTCCCATGTAGTGACTGACGAGAGGTGTGATAATGACTGGGATGAGCTTGCACTTTAGACTCTGAACTCAGCAGTTGATTGACTACTGTTGGTTTAACACTAAAATCAGCTCTGCTCCACATGTTGTCTAAAGCTTGTTGCTATTTTTTTCCCCCCTCAAGATTCAAATAGGTAGAAACTCACCCAGGAGCATTTTGCTATGAACATAGCAGACAGCAATATGAAAAGACCAGAGTGATTCAGCTTGATTAGCATGTCGTCAGCAAGAAGGTAGACGGACCCCCTTTTTTTGGCAGAGCCACCAGCTACGACTGAACCAGCAGAACACTTGCTTTCTTTACAAGGCATCTTTTTGCTAAAACTATACCTTGCCACATAGTGGAATAACTTAGAGGGAACAAATCCCTGTGTTGCCATCTGCATGTGAGTGTAATCAGATGTCTTCATTATGGTCCTAATCCACAGTCTTGTGTTTGCAGCCCCCACTGGTCCAGGCCATTTTCAGTGGAGATCCAGAGGAGATACGTATGCTCATCCACAAGACTGAAGATGTGAACGCACTGGTAAGAGATGCTATATTTTTGTTGCTCTGGCCTTCGTCTGGGGCAATTGAGGGACTTGACATTTCCTGTATTGTGGACACCTATAGTTAAAATAGTGCGAGCTCTGGTTTGCTTTTTAGGCCATTAAAAAAAAATCCATGTAATAAATACTAGGGTTAGAGAGGAAAGCAATTATATTGAAATGCAGTTGTGAAAATATTAAAAACCGAGAGCTGAAGATATAGTAGATATATGTTAGAGTACATGTCTAGCATGTGTGAAGCTGTAGTAGAGAGCTGGCCTAGCATGTGCTAGGCTGTGGTAGAATGCTTGCCTAGCATATGGGAAGCCTGGTTAGATCCCCAGCACTGTGAAAAAAAAAAATTAAATTTGAAGCTGGATGTGGTGGCACACACCTTTAATCCCAGCGCTAGGGAGGCAGAGGCAGGCAGAGCTCTGTGAGTTCAAGGCCAGCCTGGTCTACATAGTGAGTTCCAGGACAGCTGGGGCTACAGGGAGACCCTGTCTCAAAAAGACCAAAAACAAAAAAATTAAATTTGAGATATAGTAGTCTATATGCTTTAAAAAAATAAAATCACTTTAACTCACAAATAAAAACATCACACAACTGGTTTAAGGAAGCCACTCAAACACTTGGCCAGTCTCAAACTCTATATATCTCAGTGAACTTCTGTGTAGTTAGAACGACCATTCTCATGCCATGGAGCATTGGTTAGGATTTTATATTTTCATATTTTAGTCATTTATCCATCAAGAAATGAGCAAAATCTATGATGGAGTTTAAACTGGAAGAAAAACATTAGCTTTATATCATATTCTAAACAACTTTTTTCTTTTTGAGACTTGGTCTTCCTGTAGCCCCAGCTGACCTGGAGCTCACTATTTAGACCAGGCTGCCCGCAGTCTCACAGAGATCCTCCTGCCTCTGCCTCTTGAGTGTGGGATTAAAGGTGTGTGCCACCATGCCAAGCTAAATGAACTTCTTTATCAGCACAGTTAAGCAGGAGACAGCAGAAAATCTGATGGTGACCATAATTTAAAGAGTGTCTGGCACTATTAGTATTTTGAATCACCTGTCACACCTCTCATATATAATGAGCAGGTCTGTGATTCTTCCTGGTGACAGTGTCAAATTACTGCTGCTCCTCCTGTGGTCTGTTGCACACATTTGTAAATAAAGGAATACTAAACCCCAGCAAGAAGCCTGTGAAAGTGAAGACATGATAATTTTCTTTTCTGAGGTGACGCACTGAGGCGCTTGTGTCTGTGGGCCACTAGCTATGAAAGAATTTCATCTTTCAAATGGTTGAAAAAAGACAAGAATGATAGTTTATGACATGAGAATGATATGAAATTGAACTTTCAGTGTCCACGCATAGTTTTGTTGGTGCATGGCAGTCCATCTTACATGTATTGTCTGTGCTGCTTTCGACAGCACTAGCAGAGCTGAGATCACGTTCTGACCTTCACAGAAAGCCTTTACTGGTTCCTGCTCTGGGGAGTTCATGACCCTGGGATGAATGGTTGAACTCGGCACCTGTTATGTCCTCTGAAGCTGTGTACACTTGAGTATCTTACATATTTTTCTATGAAAAGGGTCAAGGGTACCTCAATGAATTCCTAAAAAAGTTTAATTTCTACTATATCTGGAAAGTTAATAAACAGATCAGCCAACTTGCAATAAATAAAAGGGAAAAAATATTAGTCAATCATTTACCCTTTTGATAGTTTCCTAGAGCTAGGTCAAGCAAGCAATTAGGTGTAAAACATGTTTTTAATTCTCTGAATGTAATTTGATTATCAAAATACTCCAAGTCCCTTAGGGAGGGAAGTCTTCTATAAAGCCTAGTGTTCAGCAGCAACAACAGGAAGCGTCAAGTACATCTTCAGTGTAAGCAGAGCCTTGCCCTGCAGTGATAACCCCCTCTGAGGCGGTATCTCTATCAGGTCTGCCCTTCTGCAGGCAGGCCTTTTGGAGCAGCCATTGTCCTGAGGCAGCACAGATTGGTGTCTTTCTGAAAAGGCTTTTTGGCAGCTTCTCCCTAGCTGGCACTGAAAACAATAGGGCAGTATTTGTGACATTTTTGCAAGGTAAGCACAGATAAAGCCTGGGACTGACTGCTTGCAGAGGCAGCTGGGCATTTGTCCAGGGCCTTTGGGGTGTGACCTGTACTTAAGAGGAGGTGATGCAAGCAAGCTCACTGTCAAGCATTCTGACATCACAGGAATTTGCCCAGACTGTTTGGTGGCTGAGGGCCAAGCTCAGGCAAGCCCAAGGCAAGGCTACTACATTTTCCTAATGGTCACAAGCAAACAGAACATGTATTTAGTCACACCTCAGGAGATTGTACTGGCCTCTGAATGGCCTTTGTTTCTTCTTGGAAAAGTGACAAACAGTTGCTGATTAGTACAGGTTAGGAGAGCTTAACTTGAATTGTAACAAGCTGTGTCAGTGTTAGCTAGATAGGTTAACTAACCACTGGAACACAGAGATGTCTGATGAGTATATGATATGGGGATCTTAGTTCTTTTAGCAGCAGATTAGGAGACTGGTTCTAACATTCCAAATGGGGTCCCAGGTAGAATGTGTGGCTTCCAGGGTCACTGTAGGGATTGTCTTCAGTCTGACTGGCCTGAAGGGAACGAGGGGCCTAGAGGAGCAGCATGGGAAGGTTTTTATGGGTCAGCTTGGAAGTGGGGTATCTATCACTTCTGTTTGTCTTCCATTCAGCAGACCAGTCATGCAGCCACACCTAATTCCAGGGGTGGGTGGGGTATCAGTGTAGCTCTGTACCCTTGAAAAGTCAGCAAAAATGGACCTTGGTGAGTGATTGGCATCTTGGCCACACCAAGTTTTGGTCTTACAGATATCTAGGGAATCCAAGTGATTCTACTTACCTGTGGGGTGTCTTGCTCATGACACAGCTATTTACTGAGTTATGACTCTGCCAAGTTCTAGGGACACAGCAGTGGGAAGACAGTGGTTTCCATTTTGGAGTTTCAAAGAGAAGTTAAGAAATGAGAACTCTGTGATGAGCTTTGAAAGGGAATGTCCAGGAGAGCTGGAGGCTAGTGTCCAGGGTCTGAGCTAGTGATGTGCACTGTGAAGCCTGAAGGATAAGGAGGGATTCACTTTATACATGCAGGGCTGTATGTGTGGCAGCAGAGATGGGAACGACGAGGAAATGAATACAGGAGTGATTGACAGCGAGCGAACCAGTGGACAAACACAAAGAGGGCCTGAGTTCTTTTGGGGAACCTTATGTATTTTGGAGGTCCACAGTTCCTTTTGTTCCACTTACATCTCTTGAGACTCCCTTTCCTCCCCCTTCCTTCCCTGTGGCAGGTGTGTGTAGAGGAGACCTATCATCCACTGTTACCAGGCATGTTGGCTGTGCTGAGCTGTATTGGTTGGCTCTCCTTGTCAGGCTCTCCTTCCCTGGGGATGAGTTAGAGTGACTGTTTTGCTGAGGGCACATTAGGTCATTTAGGGCAGGGCTTCTTAAACTATTTCCACTTGCACTCCTTTTTGCCTGAGAAGTTTTCATGGACCTTGGTGAGTGATTAGCATCTTCATTATATAGATGGGTGATTAGCAATTCTCAATATATAGATGTGTAAAAATCAAACATTTACTGACAATAAATCATATAGAAACTTCTTTTAAAACACTTCTTTGCCTTCATTGGACTGGCCTGTGGCCATGTCTGTGGGGCATCTTGTTGATTGTTGAGTGATGTGAGAGGGTCCAGCCCACTGTGGGTGGTGCCATCCCTGGAAAGGTGGGCCTGTGTTGCATAAGAAAGCAGGCTGAGCAGGAGCCAGGGGAACAAGTCAGTAAGCAGTGATCCTCCATGGCCTGTGCTCCAGCTCCTGACTCCAGGTTCCTACCTTGGGCTCCCTGATGAACTGTGACCTGGGAGATGTATGACAAATAAACCCTTTCCTCCCCAAGTTGGTGGTGCTCAGAGTGTTTTGTCACAGCAATGGAGAAGCAAACTAGGACAGCTAACTTCCCAAATAACAATTTTAAAACTCAAATATTATAGCACAATAAAATTCAAAGATAAACTAATTTGATATT